GGAGATAATTGTTAGCTGCGGTCCGACACGCCGGGGAGAAAGAGTGTAAACGACTGAGGCTCGCATGCGTCACCGCTACTAGAACTGAGGCAGAATGAGTGACAAGCGATTTCAGTGGTAATTGGTAGTGAGTAGATAAGAGGATGTGTGTAGAGTATCGTGAGGTGCTGCCATGGTCACTTTGCATTCTGCAAGAGTCATTCTAGCAAGTGGCGATTGTGTTGCAAGATGTCAAGAGGAGGTCTCTGTCTGGAGGCGCAGGTCGTCATTGATGTGTGAGATTGTGCTGTGGGTATGCTTGTGGTGTGTTGGCTTTTCTGTTTGTTTTCCATTTCAGCTCTGTCCGTGTGACCCAGGTTCTCGCAATGGCATCCAAGTCAACGTGCATTGGTCGTGAAGGAAAAAAGGGTTGGATCCCATTTTTGCCGGGGAGTGTCAATGGAGTTGAAGATTGAACGATCAATTCTTGGTTGTTTGCTCAAAATCAACTTCCTCAATTTTCGCGGAGGCATCAATACGACAGTCATCGTCTCATCGGTCGCTGTTCAGAAAGAAGAGTGAAACATCGTCAGAAGTAACAATGATTTATTATTGTAATATTTGTTTTCAGACCTTAGTTGCTTAGTTCGTTTATTCCTTTTATATGTTGGTGTAACAATAAAGAAATAACAAGCAGCAGATCGGTGTTTTGGTTTTTGCGTCCGTTATTACTAAGCGTTTCTGAAATCTTCGAAGAACAGCGTGGGCCCGAGCGTAGCGAGAGCTGGGCATTAACGGTTTATGAGACGAGACTGACAGTTTCTGACGATGGAAACAGATCTGGCGGATTGAAACAGTTGGTGAAAGTTTGGATAGTCACCGTTCATCTTTCCTGGTGCCGGTCAAGTCCTCTTTGAACAAGCAATATCTGGAACTTTTTTGGAATTGGGTCAAGTTCAACAATGCCTGGGTCAAAGAAGGGACAGAGTGTCTTGGATGCAAACAGGAAAGTAAGTCATGGTGACTTGTCTGTTAATTGTAACGATGTGTCTGATGTTAAGTATGACATGGTTGATGTTACTGTTTCGCCGTTCAGGGATAATAGGAACATCAAACTCCCTAAATTTGAACCACGGAGTTTTGATGGAAACCCGGCCGATTATTTACAATTTGTAAAGGAGTTTGAGATCATGTTGAGTGGTATTTTATTAAATGATGAATTGAAGTTAATGTATTTGATGAGATATTGCACTGGAGATGCTGCAAGAGCTATACAGTGCTGTAAGTTTATGAAGCCAAAAGAGGGCTACTACGAGGCTATGAGCATATTACGTCAAAGGTTTGGAAGACCTTCGATGATTGCAGGGAAATTATTCGACGCTGTTAAGGGTAATGGTGGTCAATTACAGGATGACTCCCAGGCACTCACTGAGTTTTTAGATAATTTGCTAATTTACAAGAATGGAATGATTTCGATGAATCGAATGAGTGACCTCAACTCGAGTTTTATACTAGAAGTAATAGCAAGACGTCTACCTACTCGACTGCAAAGGAAGTGGGTGAAGATAAGCTCCCGTATGGAGGATGAGGGTATCGAGCCAAAGTTTGATGATATCCTGAAACTGGTAAATACTAGTGTCAATCAATCTATGAGCAAGTTCGCCAGTCTATTACATCTCACCCCTAGAATAGAGCAGTCTGAGAGCAAAATGCAATCATTGATGACGAGTAGGCCTCAGAGAGGTGGTTATCGAGAAAGCTCCATGATGTCTAGTAATGCATATAGACCTAGTGAGTGTAACAGGTTTCGTAGTACATCCTCAACTGATAGGTTACAAGATGCAAGACAAACACGGTTTTGTTTTACACGTGTGCAAGAGGTGCATACAGAAGTGAACTGTGAACCGGTGAGCAAGTTCAGTGATAAGCTAAATGTAAACTCCAGACCTGACTCCGAATTGTGTGACGATAACGGTGCGGTGAAGAAGTCTGTAGTTGCAACTGGTAAGCCGTTGTTGAATAAAGTGTCACAGAATAGAGTTGCTGCTTCAGAGTGCAGTTCTGACCCTACAAGTTTACAAGGTATTACTAGTCAGAGTGAAGTTATAAAACCTTTTATGATTTGCGAGGAGGAACCAAAATTGTCTACTTCTGTTATTAAAGAGTTTGAAAATGATGAAGTTGACGGTAAATTGAATATTTGTGGTAATGATCATGATACTTCACAGTTGTCTTTGGTTGATCATTATGAGATGAGGGATATGCCTACTACTGCTAAGTTAAATAAAGGTTCTGTACAACTACAACGTGAAGTAGAATTGAACGCAGATGCAGTTCCAAAAGGTGTGCATACTTGTGAGACAGTCAGTGTAATTGATCAGCGTGTAGCCCACCTATCATCAGATGATAGTGCTAAACCCGAACTAGTAGTGAAAGACAGCAGTGGTGGTAATCTTGCAGTTGGACAACTATCTGAGAGCCGAACAAGAACAGCTTCTGATCCACCGCTAAGTTCATCACCTTGTGTCACTCAGTCATCGTTGGTGCTGTCATCCACAATGAAACAGACACCCATCAACTCAAGTATCTTGTGCAATGACTATGGTAGTATCAGTTCGTTTGAAAGGACGAATATCAATGGTCAGTTTAGTGAGGATAAGCCAAGTGTAAACGAGAGAGTAATTGTTAAATTGACTTGCACGAATAAAGGCATTTCTAGTTTCAAGTTACTATTTGAATGTTATTATCTTTGGTGTAAATTACTCTGTTTCTATACTTGGTTGATGAGATATGTCGTGTGTTTGTTGGTCATCTATATTCTACGATACAATGACATGGGCGTGTTGCCGTTCAGATTTGAGGATATAGCTGATAGAAGGAAGTTAGCAAATGAACTCTGCGACGATTTTCCAACCTAGGGCGTCAACCTGAGAAGGGTTGTAGGCGTACTGGTGTAAGTCCTACAGTTCTTCAAAGGGTAGCGCATCAATGAGCAGTCCAATGTGCTTGGTGTATGATCTTGTACATATGTTCATATTGTATATACTGAATTGATATCATCTGTCATCTAGCTGTTGGTAATTCTGTTTGTGTCCGGACGACTTCCACTTGGATCATCAACCTGAGAAGGAATGTAGGCGTACTGCTGTAAGTCCTACAGTTCTTCAAGGGTAGTTTGTCGTGTCAGAATCCACAACATTTGATGTGTTGATTGTACATATGTTTGTGTTAAATAGTTGTGTGAGTTCCAATTGATGTAATTGTTGGTTAATCTTGTTTGTGTCTGGACATTCCACAACTTACAATCGTCAACCTGAGATGGGTTGTAGGCGTACTGGTGTAAGTCCTGCAATTCTTCAAAGGAATTCCATCAAGACATGATCGGCGAGGTTGTTTGTACTGTTTGTATATATGTGTGGTGTGTCATATCAATTGGTGTTTTTGGATTCATTGTGTTTACTTGTTGTTTTCGTATCTTGTTGTTATTGCGTAATTTTGTTAAAATTTTCGTCGTGATTACTTCTGAAGTTGTTTCGAGTCTTCTACATCCATGAATGAATTGATTGATGTTAGAGACAGCAGATGGGTCGTATACGCCGGGGAGGCTAGGCTATTGCTGAGAATGAAATGCACACGGAGATAATTGTTAGCTGCGGTCCGACACGCCGGGGAGAAAGAGTGTAAACGACTGAGGCTCGCATGCGTCACCGCTACTAGAACTGAGGCAGAATGAGTGACAAGCGATTTCAGTGGTAATTGGTAGTGAGTAGATAAGAGGATGTGTGTAGAGTATCGTGAGGTGCTGCCATGGTCACTTTGCATTCTGCAAGAGTCATTCTAGCAAGTGGCGATTGTGTTGCAAGATGTCAAGAGGAGGTCTCTGTCTGGAGGCGCAGGTCGTCATTGATGTGTGAGATTGTGCTGTGGGTATGCTTGTGGTGTGTTGGCTTTTCTGTTTGTTTTCCATTTCAGCTCTGTCCGTGTGACCCAGGTTCTCGCAATGGCATCCAAGTCAACGTGCATTGGTCGTGAAGGAAAAAAGGGTTGGATCCCTTTTTTGCCGGGGAGTGTCAATGGAGTTGAAGATTGAACGATCAATTCTTGGTTGTTTGCTCAAAATCAACTTCCTCAATTTTCGCGGAGGCATCAATACGACAGTCATCGTCTCATCGGTCGCTGTTCAGAAAGAAGAGTGAAACATCGTCAGAAGTAACAATGATTTATTATTGTAATATTTGTTTTCAGACCTTAGTTGCTTAGTTCGTTTATTCCTTTTATATGTTGGTGTAACAATAAAGAAATAACAAGCAGCAGATCGGTGTTTTGGTTTTTGCGTCCGTTATTACTAAGCGTTTCTGAAACTCAAAGGAACAGCGTGGGCCCGAGCGTAGCGAGAGCTGGGCATTAACGGTTTATGAGACGAGACTGACAGTTTCTGACGATGGAAACAGATCTGGCGGATTGAAACAGTTGGTGAAAGTTTGGATAGTCGCCCTTCATCTTTCCTGGTGCCGGTCAAGTCCTCTTTGAACAAGCAATATCTGGAACTTTTTTGGAATTGGGTCAAGTTCAACAATGCCTGGGTCAAAGAAGGGACAGAGTGTCTTGGATGCAAACAGGAAAGTAAGTCATGGTGACTTGTCTGTTAATTGTAACGATGTGTCTGATGTTAAGCATGACATGGTTGATGTTACTGTTTCGCCGTTCAGGGATAATAGGAACATCAAACTCCCTAAATTTGAACCACGGTGTTTTGATGGAAACCCGGCCGATTATTTACAATTTGTAAAGGAGTTTGAGATCATGTTGAGTGGTATTTTATTAAATGATGAATTGAAGTTAATGTATTTGATGAGATATTGCACTGGAGATGCTGCAAGAGCTATACAGTGCTGTAAGTTTATGAAGCCAAAAGAGGGCTACTACGAGGCTATGAGCATATTACGTCAAAGGTTTGGAAGACCTTCGATGATTGCAGGGAAATTATTCGAGGCTGTTAAGGGTAATGGTGGTCAATTACAGGATGACTCCCAGGCACTCACTGAGTTTTTAGATAATTTGCTAATTTACAAGAATGGAATGATTTCGATGAATCGAATGAGTGACCTCAACTCGAGTTTTATACTAGAAGTAATAGCAAGACGTCTACCTACTCGACTGCAAAGGAAGTGGGTGAAGATAAGCTCCCGTATGGAGGATGAGGGTATCGAGCCAAAGTTTGATGATATCCTGAAACTGGTAAATACTAGTGTCAATCAATCTATGAGCAAGTTCGCCAGTCTATTACATCTCACCCCTAGAATAGAGCAGTCTGAGAGCGAAATGCAATCATTGATGACGAGTAGGCCTCAGAGAGGTGGTTATCGAGAAAGCTCCATGATGTCTAGTAATGCATATAGACCTAGTGAGTGTAACAGGTTTCGTAGTACATCCTCAACAGATAAGTTACAAGATGCAAGACAAACACGGTTTTGTTTTACACGTGTGCAAGAGGTGCATACAGAAGTGAACTGTGAACCGGTGAGCAAGTTCAGTGATAAGCTAAATGTAAACTCCAGACCTGACTCCGAATTGTGTGACGATAACGGTGCGGTGAAGAAGTCTGTAGTTGCAACTGGTAAGCCGTTGTTGAATAAAGTGTCACAGAATAGAGTTGCTGCTTCAGAGTGCAGTTCTGACCCTACAAGTTTACAAGGTATTACTAGTCAGAGTGAAGTTATAAAACCTTTTATGATTTGCGAGGAGGAACCAAAATTGTCTACTTCTGTTATTAAAGAGTTTGAAAATGATGAAGTTGACGGTAAATTGAATATTTGTGGTAATGATCATGATACTTCACAGTTGTCTTTGGTTGATCATTATGAGATGAGGGATATGCCTACTACTGCTAAGTTAAATAAAGGTTCTGTACAACTACAACGTGAAGTAGAATTGAACGCAGATGCAGTTCCAAAAGGTGTGCATACTTGTGAGACAGTCAGTGTAATTGATCAGCGTGTAGCCCACCTATCATCAGATGATAGTGCTAAACCCGAACTAGTAGTGAAAGACAGCAGTGGTGGTAATCTTGCAGTTGGACAACTATCTGAGAGCCGAACAAGAACAGCTTCTGATCCACCGCTAAGTTCATCACCTTGTGTCACTCAGTCATCGTTGGTGCTGTCATCCACAATGAAACAGACACCCATCAACTCAAGTATCTTGTGCAATGACTATGGTAGTATCAGTTCGTTTGAAAGGACGAATATCAATGGTCAGTTTAGTGTGGATAAGCCAAGTGTAAACGAGAGAGTAATTGTTAAATTGACTTGCACGAATAAAGGCATTTCTAGTTTCAAGTTACTATTTGAATGTTATTATCTTTGGTGTAAATTACTCTGTTTCTATACTTGGTTGATGAGATATGTCGTGTGTTTGTTGGTCATCTATATTCTACGATACAATGACATGGGCGTGTTGCCGTTCAGATTTGAGGATATAGCTGATAGAAGGAAGTTAGCAAATGAACTCTGCGACGATTTTCCAACCTAGGGCGTCAACCTGAGAAGGGTTGTAGGCGTACTGGTGTAAGTCCTACAGTTCTTCAAAGGGTAGCGCATCAATGAGCAGTCCAATGTGCTTGGTGTATGATCTTGTACATATGTTCATATTGTATATACTGAATTGATATCATCTGTCATCTAGCTGTTGGTAATTCTGTTTGTGTCCGGACGACTTCCACTTGGATCATCAACCTGAGAAGGAATGTAGGCGTACTGCTGTAAGTCCTACAGTTCTTCAAGGGTAGTTTGTCGTGTCAGAATCCACAACATTTGATGTGTTGATTGTACATATGTTTGTGTTAAATAGTTGTGTGAGTTCCAATTGATGTAATTGTTGGTTAATCTTGTTTGTGTCTGGACATTCCACAACTTACAATCGTCAACCTGAGATGGGTTGTAGGCGTACTGGTGTAAGTCCTGCAATTCTTCAAAGGAATTCCATCAAGACATGATCGGCGAGGTTGTTTGTACTGTTTGTATATATGTGTGGTGTGTTCTATCAATTGGTGTTTTTGGATTCATTGTGTTTACTTGTTGTTTTCGTATCTTGTTGTTATTGCGTAATTTTGTTAAAATTTTCGTCGTGATTACTTCTGAAGTTGTTTCGAGTCTTCTACATCCATGAATGAATTGATTGATGTTAGAGACAGCAGATGGGTCGTATACGCCGGGGAGGCTAGGCTATTGCTGAGAATGAAATGCACACGGAGATAATTGTTAGCTGCGGTCCGACACGCCGGGGAGAAAGAGTGTAAACGACTGAGGCTCGCATGCGTCACCGCTACTAGAACTGAGGCAGAATGAGTGACAAGCGATTTCAGTGGTAATTGGTAGTGAGTAGATAAGAGGATGTGCGTAGAGTATCGTGAGGTGCTGCCATGGTCACTTTGCATTCTGCAAGAGTCATTCTAGCAAGTGGCGATTGTGTTGCAAGATGTCAAGAGGAGGTCTCTGTCTGGAGGCGCAGGTCGTCATTGATGTGTGAGATTGTGCTGTGGGTATGCTTGTGGTGTGTTGGCTTTTCTGTTTGTTTTCCATTTCAGCTCTGTCCGTGTGACCCAGGTTCTCGCAATGGCATCCAAGTCAACGTGCATTGGTCGTGAAGGAAAAAAGGGTTGGATCCCTTTTTTGCCGGGGAGTGTCAATGGAGTTGAAGATTGAACGATCGATTCTTGGTTGTTTGCTCAAAATCAACTTCCTCAATTTTCGCGGAGGCATCAATACGACAGTCATCGTCTCATCGGTCGCTGTTCAGAAAGAAGAGTGAAACATCGTCAGAAGTAACAATGATTTATTATTGTAATATTAGTTTTCAGACCTTAGTTGCTTAGTTCGTTTATTCCTTTTATATGTTGGTGTAACAATAAAGAAATAACAAGCAGCAGATCGGTGTTTTGGTTTTTGCGTCCGTTATTACTAAGCGTTTCTGAAACTCAAAGGAACAGCGTGGGCCCGAGCGTAGCGAGAGCTGGGCATTAACGGTTTATGAGACGAGACTGACAATACCCCTTGTAACCATTTTATCCTTGTTTATGTTCTTTTGCATAAATATACATTTCTATTCATCATAAATGCCTCTTTACTGTGATTGGTCCGCTCAAGGTCGTTTGCAGATTGGTTGTTAGTGGTGTTCAAAGGTTAACTTTGCCGCATGCCAAATGCATTACTTTAGGTACCTACACAGTTTACAAATTAACTCACAACAGTGAAGTGGAAAAATTTACATTTGTCCTTACTGAGCTCAATATGGCGAATTTTGTGAAGTAGCTTTCCTATGCAGAAGAGAAGAGCAAGGTATTCATTATCTTTTGCTACATGTGGAACCGCAGCGCATCTCTATGCGCAATAGTATATATATGAATAAACTGAAAAAGAAAGTCCTCCTTACCTTCTGAACAACTTGTCCTTATTCCAGGATAAAAACTTTCTTCGACCTATAAGCCCAGGTTATGTCCATGAAGTCAAAATATTACATCAATTAAACCTTCCTCCAAAATCAAGGCCACTTGAAACCCATAGAAACACAGCGACGGACATCGTAGCGGGGATGCGCAATTAAGCCACTCACAAACTAAAAGTAGAAGTAGTACGGAGGTACTTCAAGCTAAAAGCATTCGAAACCGAAAACGGCACAACTTGCTCAACCAGATGCGAAATCCTAGGGATCTAAACATTGTGGCTAAGATGGCTGCTACTTAAGTCGTTACTTTTGTATAAGTTTCTAAACCACTTGATACATATTCCTACTTATGGCACTCGGTTCTCAGACGAGACAGGATATAACCTCAGACACACCAAAGGTACAGTAGCTATAAGACGGTGCAAGGCAGCCACCAGGTAAAGTTTTGATTTGAATGAATATGTTCAGATACGGAACAAACAACCTACGGAAATGCGACTAGCAAGCAGATTGACCTCCTCCGAAAAGCCACTTAATGACACATTAAGTGAGCATGCAAGCGATACCGATGCCAATTCCCGTGTAAGAGCTTCTGAAATCATGGGCCCATTTAATGTGTGAACTTAGAAACTACACCTGTTGTTTGTTTTGCCTCTATTTATCATTTTTGACAAAAAGCAGCCGTTATGACAAGAGGCCCCATAAAAATATGAGCTGGTTGTATAATGTCTACCGGTTACCGGGAATGAAACAAGACAGACAAGTGGATGAAATATGAGAAGACGAGGTCGGAACGTACTAAAATATTACATTGAAAGATATGAGTTCCTTGTAAATTATCTACACTTCACCATCTAGTATACTTTCTGAAATAAATGCGGCGATATTTCATCCACAGTGGCAAGGAAATGTATAAATCCACAATTCCTGTTGTATACACTCAGTTGTGGTAGGAGACAGCGAAGTAATACATTTAAGGCATACGTCTAATTCCCATGATTACGGCGATACTCTGCGGAATATTTAAAAATCGTAGAATAATCAAACCCTACGTGAAATGGAATTGGTAACTCTAAACTATAGCAGCCCAAACCGAAACTACCTAGCGGACGGACAAATGACCTTAACGAGGACAAGTTTGCCCAATCAGAGGGCCCTATAAAAACGGTGCATAGTTTTAATAAATCGTTTACATGAAAGTAATGCAATGTCAAAAAGGTTACAAAGGATAACGTTCTCGTATATGTTCCAAAAAACATTCCAATTTCTCATAGGAGTCTTGATACTTATATTAAACCAAGTTCTGTATATAAACTCATCGAGATGACTGTATATCATTGCATTTCTTGATCCATTTACAGGTCTGATCCGGTGTTTTTGAGTCGACTCCAAAATTTTTCGGTGGAATTAGTGTGAGTTCCATCGAAAGGATTGATGAAACCATTTGTATGGTTGACGACCCGATGAATATAGCCCAGAGTTGATAACTGACCATAACTACTACATTCATCGGTATGAAAAGTTGTTCCAGGCAGCGCTAAACGCTGGATAATAGACAATAAAACATCTGCACTGCGATTAGGGATCGCCTCAATGTATTCTTTCTGGAGGCCGGTGTCATATACCCCAATACCCACTACTGACTTCCACTTAATCTCCCTCAAATATATTTTCTTTTGATCAATACCGTCTCATCCACGCGTACAATGACGCCAACTCCGTCAAGTACTTGAGTCAACCTGTCCATTTTCCACGATGATAAGTCTCTGTGGCACTAGTACCATTGCACTGCAGATACTTTCGAATTTCCTGTTTCATACGCTGTTGCTGTTACTGGTCTTTACAGTACCCAGAAATGACACATCATTAAAATTTTCGTCAAAGGTAATTTAAACTTTGGGAAAAAAGTACCTAAGGAATCTGTAAGCTAAGAAAGAGCGATATACATTCTCGAAATGATTTTATGATCCGGCACTCACTGCATCGATGCACCTAGTGTATCTTTGTATATGCACGACACCTTCATATTGACAATTTTTCGACCTTCATATCAGTCCGTTCCCCAAACAGTAATCAAAAAAGATCTGGAGCGAATTTGCAATGCAAAGGGTGTAGAGCATCCATAATTACGTCTGGATAACATGGAGTCGCCTGATTGGTTATTCAAGGCCATCTGTCCGTCAATATAATAATATTTTATTTCTGGAACAGAAACCAGCCATTTTTACAGGCATGAACATATGCACACTAATAAGAATTTACAGGATATACAATATGATTTGTTGATCTAGAAATAGATTGAATACTGTTTAATGTGAGAGAAGCATTTAAAAAGAAATGTACCGATAAAGAAACAGATAATATTTGAGATCTGCTTTTGACCGAATAAGTCATAGGATATAGTGTCAAATCTAAACTGTAATTGAAAAAAATACGGTATGTCAATTTCACGCGGGAATTTCACATGATTACGTTGATTGTGGAAGGTAAGTAGCATTTTTGTACAGGTGTTGACGTGAAACATAAGAGGTGCAGAATGAACAATAGTTATAAGTGAATGATTCATAAAGTGTCTGAAAGTCTATAAAACTTCAAAGTCACGGGTAAGCACACCATAATTGTGACATTTTCAGTTGTATATAAGACCGACTTTGAACTTGTCAGCAGAATTTATAATATAGGTGGTTCCGTCATTTACCAGATGAGCTAGCAATATCTCGAATAAGCAGAGAATAGCAGCGCTGTATCAGTACCTTCATTGAAAGCAGTATGTTTGAAAAGAGAAGAAGACACAAGAAAACCGGCAGACAGGTGCAGAAGTATATAAAAGGTGTTAATAATTCAAAATATATAACAGGCATGGGGTTCATCATTTTTTTTTCAAGAAATATTATTTTCCCGATATTTTACAGACTTTTCTGCGAACAGTTAGTTTAAAGTGAAAGACAGGTGATAATTTCACCTACTTATGTAGGCTGAAAAGGAGTTAAACACAAAAGTCAGAGTGCGTGAGCTATGTGAAAGAAAAGTGAGGGACTAATAATATCTATTTTTTCCGAAGTATACAGTTAGATGTCCTTCTGAAATAGCGGACTCATACCATTTACTTTCATTCGAGAGTTTGTATCTAAACCTTGGCTTTAGGTAATTTTCAACTTCTATTTCTTTTTGAATTGAATCCACCAATTGTATACTAACTAAATGCCCGGACATCGTCGAAGCATCTGCACAAGAAGCCGACATGTCAACCTGAGACCGAGCACTTCGGTCCAATCAATCGACGGGAAAATCAAAAATTCAATTCAATAATTAATATGACCCGTCGCACAAGAGGTGGCTCTCGTGACCCAAGTGGTCTAGTGGATAACCCTTTGGCGTTTGAAACTATGGGTACTGGGTTCGAGCCTCGATGGGAACATCATCACTCACTGAGAAATGCAGGTACATCCAGCTGACGAGTCCCAAATAGGACGAAATGCGCATCCTGGATTCCACTGCTAGCCACCATCCACCAATTGTATTCTATTTCTTTTTTATTATTATTTTTTATTTTTATTTTTTATTTATTCTCCTAAGTAAATTTATTTTTAAGTAAAGACGTTATTTGAGAATAAATGAGATAAGACATTGTGAAGTGGTATTTAAAGATCTGACAATGGACAGCAAGTTAATTTATAAGATGCCTCATAAATCTGTGCAGATCCCGCGTGGTCGCATCTCAACAATAGGCTGAGTGAATGGTACATATTTAAAGGCAGAAGCATGATCTGTCTAGGCGTTCATTATTATCTTTTTCAAGATAAAGATTTAAGCCCTCATAAAAATCAGAAATATCTTGAGCCTCCAAATTGTATATCGCTGTTCCTGCAGAATGGGATGATTCACCTTAGTGACCACCACCATATCTAATGATCAGCTAGCGCCACACTCACTAACTAGTCCCGTTATGCTAACCTTTATATTATGTGTGAACTAATATTACTGTCTTGTGTAGAAATGTTTATCATCTAGTTCCAATAATATTAAAGTTTATAATTGTAGTTTTTTGTAACTACACGTTTAGTGAACTTAAAATATCTATGTAGGATGAAAAAGAAGGTGTAAGAGTCAAACGTAGAGGTGCATTGTCATCTTTGAGCAGTCTGGTGACTGAGGAGATGAACACTGGAAATGTGTTTGCATCACGCACATTAGCTGGTAGTCTATTCCAAATGACTGAAAACTTATTTAAGAAGAAGTTGTACCGCACGTAAGTCTGACAGTGCTCTGTAGCAGCTACGTTGTGATGATTTCTAAGATTGTAATTGATGACAGCGGTAGGTTTCGTTGTTGGCTCGGAGGAATGCAAGAGAAGATTAGTTAGCTTACAGTCAAAGATAAGGTAAAGCTTAAGACGTCTATTCCAGAGGGGTTCTAATCTTAGTCTTTCGCATAGCTCATGGTATTCCAGACCACATTCTAAACCAAGGGTTCTTGAGGTAAACTCCCGTTGCATTCCCTCTAATATAAAATTCATTTCAGAACACGGTGAGAATGCTAGTGGCCCTAAAATAATTTGTGAGCTTCTAGACTCCTACTTCTTTCGGTCATATATCTATGATGATAATACGTTGCCACAACCTCTATTTCCTGTACGTTCATAAAAAACCTTAGAAATTATCAGCTTTTCTTTAGATAATATTAAGAAAGCAATCACTTCTCTTAAAAGTTCAAACAACCCAGGTCCTGATATGATTCCCTCAACTTTTTTAAAATACGGTGGCGAAGACATTCCTATTCTCTTTCTTAAATTGTTCTCTGCCTCTCTATCAAATGGGATATATCCAGGTGCACGGAAATCCACACACATTACCCCTAGATATTAGTCAGACCGCCGTGCAGGTGTCATTAACCTAACTTCTGTTATTTCAGGGGTTCTGAAAAATATCGTGAAAAGTGCCACTTTTGACTTCCTCTTTGAAGAGAAACTTATCACTCATTATCAACATGGTTTCATGAAGCCGCGTTCCTGCACGACATGCCACTTACAATTTTTCGATCGCATCTCACAACTTAAAGATTCCAGTATGATCACAGTTATTATATACTTAGATCTTAGTAAAGCCTGTGACACTGTAAGCCACCGACTGTTAATATCAAAAGTCCAGTCTTATGGGATCCAGGGTTCATTGTTAAGCTGGCCCAGTTTGTTTCTAAGCTACCGGATGCAAATGGTCAGGTCAGGTTCTCACACATCCAACCCCGTTCCGATAACAAGTGGAGTTATAAAAGGTAGTGTCCCAGGTCTACTCTTATTCCCGTTATATTTCAATGACATTTACGACGTTATTTAACATGGTAGACCTTTCCTATTTGCTGATGACATCAAAATGGTATATCACTAACTAATAAATGAGGTGTCATGTGTATTTGATAGGATTCAGGATGATATTGATAGCGTTCATTTATGGTGTTACACGTGGAAAATGAAGTTTAACGTTGAAAAATATGGTGTGCTATACTCCAAAAGTATTTCATCCGAACTTTCCATCTCCCTACACAACAATCATATCCCTAGTTTGCTGCTTACAACAGATTTGGGTCTGAAATACACTCAAGAATTTAGCCTCGCGGCATATGTTAAATTACAAGTATCAAAGGTCAAAGGCCTCTTTGGGTTAATATTCCGAAACTTTAAGATGTGTGAATCCAAAATTTTGCTGTACAAGTTATGCATAAGGCCCTTACTTGAATTTTGCCACCCTATCATGAACAGTGTCTCGGTAAAAGACAGGTGCTAATTAGAGAGTCTACAAAGGGCGTTTACTAAACGTCTACTGGGTGAAAATCTTTGTATTTCTTACTACGACAGATGTAACATATTTGACTTGGAACCCTTATGGGTTATATGACTGAATTTCAACCAAAAAATTACATTTAGGATTGCAAAAGGGCTTATATATTTCCCCCACAATAACTTTACTTTTAGTTCACCTAAGAAATATGACCTCAGAAATAAATCTTCATCTCTTAAAGTGCCCCGCTGTCATACAAAATACAGATCAAATTCTTTCATTGTGAGATACCGTAGTATTTGGAACCGTCTTTTAACTGAAATTAGAAACAGTTCTACCCAAAAAACCTTCTCATCTCTACTGAGCAAATATTTTATCAACAACGGGCTAGAAGGGGTATGTGAAAAACTAAGAATTGGAGATCTAATACGGCACTCCTCTGACCCTCACTGTTAGCTACCGAAATCTGTGAACTCTTTGTTTGACTCTACTTTCACTATGGTTGTTTCAACAACCCTAGTCACCCATTCTTATCAGCCTTGAATTCTAATTGTTTCTTCATTCAAATATTTTTGCGTATATCCCTGATAACATTGCATTATGAGTATTTCAGTATGCTAAGAGTTCCGTCTCATGATTAATTCCAAACCATTTATCCCATAATCACTCAAATTCCAGGAACGATCCAATTCTACCATTTAAAGAAGCTGGCGGACACGATGTAAATGAGTATTCATGATCTGCAATAAAGAAGCAACTGGTTTTCAACATTTTACTCAACTTACGAGTACAGTCCGCCATGCAGACACAAATGGAGCAAATGGAGAATTCTGGAATCGACCTCGGGACCATTTGATGCAGTAAAACAACTTAGCATGACTTTATCTAATTTTCGCCCCCACGATCAAATTTCTTTCCTGTTATGAAACTACGATAAGACTGCTGAAAAATGGAATAAATATATCACTGATCTCAATATAATACATCAATAATCTTTAAGCCAAGGGTGCTGTTCACAACAAAGTTATGTAGGAGAATTGACTTCAAGCTTTATTTTTCCCAGATATCTGTATTACATTCATGTGATGTCTGGGTTTTTTGTTAATGCGAAAACAATATTTCTATATCTCTTTATGTGCTACACAAACTGACTTTATAGCAAACTGTTCCGACTGACTCTAATGTCAGAAAGAACAACCAAACTGTAAGTCCATTATACATCAAATTATGTGTAATTTATATAATAACTTATCCATGCCTGTACAATAGGTATGTTCCTGCATGAACAGGAAGGAATATATTATTATTATTAAAACAATATTTATGCATGCCTATACAATTGGTGTACCCTACATAGCTAGGGAAAAAATGTACTTTATTATATTATCTTTACTAAATATGCTTATTAATATTATGTGTAAATTATCGAATTGATGATGCCTGTAAACTGGCGTCCCTCATGTAAAAAATGAGAATATATATTATTATTATTATCAAGTTCCAGATGCAAATCAACTGAAGACGACTGGTATTATAATAATAATAATTTATATTTTCATATAAACATAGATGTACATGAAAAGGCATGCCATTTTTACAGGCACGATCAAGTAAATTATTAAAATATCTCTGGAGACTGCCTAATGCCATACGTAAGTACTGCTTGCCTTTACGCAAATTAAGACCCAGATGGTGGAAGTCTAAATAATCAACTAAACAGTGATTCTTAAATGGTAATGAATCTTATCTTACTGTTGCCAGTTAGATTATTTCGACCACATTACTGAATGTGTAGACAAAGGTCGTTCGGCAGCAACATTATTTCTGGATGTTTAGAAAGTAAATCAGATACAATGCTGAGAATTCCATTCTGTCTTATAAGTTGTTAATATCGTTGAAGACTGAACGATCAATTCATGGTTGTTTGCTCAAACCCAACTCCTCCATGTTTTTCGCGGGAGTCATCAATCCAGCATTCATCGTTCGCTGATCGGTGGAAGAGGGAAAACTATCAGAATTATTATCGTGATTTATTGTTATAACATTTTTTAGACCTTGTGTGTAATAGCCTTATTGTTGGTTACGTATTGGTATAAGAATAAAGGATTCTCGAGCCGCCAATCCTTGTTCTGGTTTTTCGCGTTGATTGTTACAAACTGTTTCTGGGAGTCTTGCAGGGACAGCGTGAGGTCCAGCGTAGTAAGACATGGACATTGACATAAGTACCGTTTTTGTAACAAAGTAAATTATTATTATGAGGAACACTCAACCATGCCCTACTTAGCTCGAGTTGTGTGCGATAAAAAGGCATTAGGCGTGATTCCTATAACTTATTAAATAGTCAATAGTACAACTAGATCTCGTCTTTCTGACTCATATCATTTATAGGTACGACGTTTTTCTTTTCTTTCTTTTCCTTTTCTCTCCCTCTATTTCTTTTTTCCCTATTATGCGTTACTTTGTTTCTTTCTTCTGATTATGCCAGTAAATATGCTGGCATCTACTTTTCAATTTCGGCTTTGCTACCGACATGTCAATATGTTGTTGTCATAGTGAACTGAAATTTCTTTAATCTCTGTAGAAATTTATTTATTGGTAATGTGCTAAACGGATGCAATACTGTAGTAGAATTCTGAGAATTGCATTCTGTATTCGCAAATACTGTTTCGGAATAAAGCAAATTATTATTATTGTTCCCTGATATGTTTTAGTAATGGAACTCTACAGTCTTTCTTGCGAGCAATTAGTTTAGGTGAAAAAGGTGATAAATTTACTACTTGAATGGGTTGAAAAAGAGTCAAACACAAAATTCAAAGTGCGTGAACTATGTAGAAGAAGAGCAAGGGCCTAATAATATCTACTGTTTTTCTGAAGTATACAGTTAAGTGTCCTTCTGAAGTAGCGGACTCATACCATGTAGTTGCAGTCTGGAGTTTGTATCTAATTCCATTTCTTTTTTGTTTATTCTCCTATTTTGCAGAAGCCATTCTAACTCAGGAGCCCCAGCCACAAACTGCCGTCCCACAGACAAGGGTGGTTCTAATATGCCCCCACCATCATATCCGCTGAATAGCCATCACCACCCTCCCACCTTTTTTGTGCAAAGCCCTGGCGAAATGCTTTATTTTTTATTATGACGTCTCTTTTAATTTCTGTTGTATTATGCCATAAACTTTAAAAATATTCATTCGTTGACTCATTTAATTTAACTATTAACCAAATTTATGAAATTTAAATAATGCTTATCCATGCCTGTACATTTGATGTGTCCTGCACAGGTAGGAAAAAATGTGTATTTTATTAAAACATTATTATTAATTATGATTGCTAATCGTATATGTAATTTATCATATTGATGATGCCTGTAAACGGCGTCTCTCATGTACAAAATGAGAATATACTATTATTAATATTATTCAAAGTCATGGTATCAATGACTACTCTCAGAAGAACATCATGTATGTTTCGTCTGTTACATCATTTTGGAGAAGAAACATGTAAGGAAAATAGACTAACATAGTCTACATTTTAGATATAAACAAATGTAATTTCGAAAAACAGTGCATAATCGTGCAGCAATAAATATATATGTAGTAGTAAGTTATAATATGTTGTTTCGAAAATTTGAACACACAGGATTATAGTTATAGAACAGTAAGATAAGATTCATTACCATTTAAGAATCACTGTTTAGTTGATTATTTAGACTTCCACCATCTGGGTCTTAATTTGCGTAAAGGCAAGCAGTACTTACGTATAGCATTAGGCAGTCTCCAGAGATATTTTAATATTTTACTTGTATACCCCTGCTAACTATACTCGGTTCTCAGGTAACACAGGATACAACCTTAGACACACTGAAGGTACAGTGGCTATATAGCCATGTAAAACAGCCACCAGGCAAAAGTTTTTCTTGGTTAGGTATGCCCAAATATGGAACAAACTACCTGAGAAAACGCGACTAGCAAGCACATTGGCCTCCTTTGAAAAGGCACTTAATGAAACACTAAGTGAGTTTGTAATTGATACCAGTGGTAATTCCCATGTAAGAGTTTCAGAAATCATAGGCCCATTTAATGTATGAACTCAGAGACTACACCTGTTGTTTGTTTTGCCTCTATTTATAAT